GAAATACAATATTTGAGACCCTAATTCTAAATTCTATAAAATTAAAAAGCTGTTCATCCTAAGAAAAGTCACTTAAGCCTCTTCAAGTCACTTAATTTATCTCCAATTCAGTGAATTGGGCTGGAAAATTCCCAAGGTTCCTTCCAAATCTAATCTTGTAAGTAAAGCAATTTACTGCAATTATAGTCAACCCTGATATTGGAAGCATTAAAGAAATAATTTGATAATAATCTATAATAATTTGATCACATTTTCTAATTAGAACTGACAAGATTTCTACTACTGAACCACCATCACTGGACACACAGTTAAAAGGTTGCAATTTGTTGAAATTATCCAGCAAAAAGATGGGGAAATTTTCATAATCCCATCATCCTGAAAATGTTTATAGTTTCTGCCGGACTTATCCTAGGCACCCTGAGTGCTCTTAAAAATTTACCAGAAAGAAGCAACTCTCTTGGGTTTAGAAGAGAAAGTGAATTCTGTTTCTTTTTTGCTAGTCTTTTCCCTCTACTTTGATGGCTTTTTCTTTACTCTTGATGGAGTATCTCTCTTTCCCTGTCTCCCCCATTGTCTCCCTTGTTATGAAATTATCCTGGGAAAATTGATTTCTGAGGTAGCAAATGGCTTTTGTGCTTAGCTAAAGAACAAGGAGAAATTATTATAAGTTACTGTTTGTAGAGGAAATGAGCTGCCCACATACATTCTTGGTTTATGTAACTATAAGCTTTAAAACTTGACAAATGTGAGGATAACAATAGAGTTATTAGACGCTCCAAATGTAAACACCTAATTTCAAAGCTTTTTTGTGTGTGTAGCAACAGAGAAAGCATAATTAACAGCAACATACACTTAACAACAGGACATGTGGACTGACTGTTTTCCCCATTCTTCGTACACGTGCAACATTTATTGACACCAGAGAAACTCACACATTGGGAAAGAATAACTCAGCTACAGAAACTTTTTGTCCAATTAAAAACTATAATTTAAAATATACCTCTACTTTTAGTATAGATTACTTTTTACTTTTAAAGTTTTTATTTAAATTTCAGTTAATATTACAGTGTAATATTTACAAGTGTAAAATAGAGTGATCAACAATTCCATTCATCACCAGGTGCTCACCACAAGTACATTCCTTAATCTCCATCACGTGTTTAATCCCCATCACGTCCCCCCACACCCCCTGCTTTGGTAACCATCAGTTTGTTCTCTATAGTTAAGGGTCTGATTCTTGGTTTGTCTTTTTCTTTCTTTTTTTTCCCTTTGCTCCTTTGTTTTGTTTCTTAAAATCCACATATGAGTGAAATGTCTTTCTCTGACTGACTTATTTCACTTAGCATTATACTCTCTAGGTCCATCCATGTTGCTGCAAATGGCAAGATTTCATTCTTTTTTATGGTTGAATAATATTCCATATATATACACATTAATAATATTCCAATATCATAAAATAATATTGTATTTTATGTATATTATACATAATATACATATAATATATATACAATATATGGGCTACCTCTTCTCTATCCATTCATCAATAAATGAACACTGAATTGTTTCCATAATTTGGCTATTATAGACAATGCTGCTATAAACATCAGGGTGCACGTCTTTGATTCAGTATTTTTGCTTTCTTTATGTAAATACCTAGTAGTGCGACTGCTGGATCATAGGGTAGTTCTACTGTTTTCTATAGTGGCTGCACCAACAGCGCAAGAGGGTTCCCCTTTCCCCACATCCTCACCACTACCTGCTGTTTCTTGTGTTGTTGATTTTAGCCTTTCTGACAAGTATAAGGTGATATCTCATGGTAGTTTTGGGATGTGAGGGCGATCTGGCTGCAACATCTGTCACCCTATTGATCGACAGGGTTGATTCGGCTGATCTGGCTGGCTAGGCGGGTGTCCCCTTCCTCCCTCACCGCTCCATGTGCGTCCCTCAGGAAGGTGTGCACACTGTGGAAGAGGACGACCTTCCCCGGTAGAGGAGGACCAGTCTTCGGTCAAGGGTATACGAGGAGCTGCGCTCTCCTGCTAGAACCTCCAAAGAAGTTCTCATGGTAGTTTTGATTTGCATTTCCCTGATGATGAGTGATATTGAGCATCTTTTCATGTGTCTCTTGGCCATTTGTATGTCTTTGGAAAATTGTCTATTCATGTCTTCTTTCCATTTTTAATTAGATTATTTGTTTTTTGGGTATTGAGTTTTATAAGTTCTTTTATATATTTTGGAAACTAACTCCTTATAGGATGTGTCATTTGCAAATAACTTCTTCCATTCCATAGGTTGCCTTTTAGTTATCTTGATTGTTTCCCTCACTGTGCAGAGACTTTTTATTTTGATGTAGTCCCAATAGTTTATTTTTGCTTTTGTTTCCCTTGCCTCAAAAAAGTTGCTACAGCTGATGTCAAAGAAATTCCTGCCTGTGCTCTCTTGAAGGATTTTTATGGTTTCTGTTCTCACATTTAGATCTTTAATCCCTGTTGAGCTTATTTTTGTGTACGGTGAGAGAGAATGGTCCAGTTTCACTCTTTTGCATGTTACTGTCCAGTATTCCCAACCCCATTTGTTGAAGAGACAGTCTTTCCCATTGGATATTCTTTCCTGCTTTGTCGAGGATTAATTGGTCATATAATTGTGAGTTTATTTCTGGGTTTTCTATTCCAATGATCTATGTGTTTATTTTTGTGCCAGTACCATACTGTTTTAATTACTACACCTTTATAATATAAATTGAATTCTGGAATTGTGATGCCTCCAGGTTTGCTTTGCTTTGCTTTTTCAAGACTGCTTTGGCTATTCAGGGTCTTTTTTGGTTCCATAAAAATTTAGGATTGTTTCATCTAGTTCTGTGATGAATGCTATTGATATTTTCATAGGAATCGCTTTAAATGTGTAGATTGCTTTGGGTAGTATAGACATTTCAACAATATTTGTTCTTCTGATCCATGGGCATGGAATGCCTTCCATTTTTTTTGTGTGTCATCTTCAGTTTCTCTCATTGGTGTTTATAATTTTCAGAAGATACAGGTCTTTCACCTCTTTGGTTAGGATTATTCCTCAGTATCTTATTATTTGGAATGCAATTGTAAATGGGCTTGATTTCTTAATTTCTCTTTATTCTGCTTTATTATTGTTGTACAGAAATGCAACAGATTTCTTGGTGCAGCTTACTTTTTACAAGCTGCAATACCTCACCTGGTGTATTCCTCTACTTATTTTCATAATCAAGGAAAATCTTTGATTGATGATAAAAAATAGTTCACAATCTATATTTTAGTACCTTTGATTACTACAAAATATTCTAGTGTTTAAAAATCCTTAGAATGGGATGCCTGGGTGGCTCAGTCAGTTAAGCATCTGACTTTGGCTCAGGTCATGATCTCACAGTTCATCAGTTCGAGCCCCGTGTCGGGCTCTGTGCTGACAGCTAGCTGAGAGCCTGAAGCCTGCTTCTGATTTTGTGTCTCCCTCTCTCTCTGACCCTCCCCTGCTCACACTGTCTCTCTCTCTTTCTCAGAAATAAATAAAACATTAAAAAATAATAATAATAATTTAAAAATAAAAAAAATAAAAATAAAAATCCTTAAAGTACAATTTTTCAATTTGCTCATGTTAGACTCTTCTTGAAAGGCAAGCCCAATCTTAAATTACTAAATTATTACCATCACAAAATAAAAACCTGATATTTTGGTGTCTAACCCAAACAGTCAAAAATTCCCTCTATTTCAGTAAAGCTAAATTTTTTTCTAGATTATTTCACTGAGTCATTCAATAATGTACCAGAAATGTTATGTATATAAATGTTATATATAAACACATATATAATAGAGTGTGTGTATATATATATAATAGACTATATAATATGCTAGTAATGTAATACAATACTCTATATAATGTATACTCTATTCCTTTACAAAAGCAATGTGAGACAGATTCAAATCGTCAAGATAGTCTATCTCTAGAAGGACAAAAAACATTAATACATTAAAACACAAAAAGAATGTGTCAGGATCTGATGAAAGCATAATCTGTATTCTCATTTCTACTCTATGTTATAGTATTTCTTGGAGTTATAATAACGTCTTTTGAGAAAATATCTCTATGGAAAATTCAATTATTATTCCCACATACACACTTTGCTCACTCACCCACCTCCTCACACATCTTCAAGATGGAGGGCAGAAACCACAAAAAGACCCCATTTCTCCTGGCTCTGATTAGCGAGAGAGGGAAGCTGTGCCCCAGCACATACCCTCCTGAGTGGAGAGCCCTGTGAAAGCCTAAATGCAATTGTTGAGCATCAAGCCAAGAGTACAGTGCCTTAAATGAACAGATCAAGCTGCCACGCAAAACCCACACTTCTGCCACTTGCAAAAAAGCTGGTAGAGGCTCTTGGGCACGAGTCTTACTGTCCCCGTTGTGAGATGGCTTAGCAAAGTTACCCTGCCAGCAGTCACTTCAACTGCCAGTAGATGAAAAAGAAATGGGATGGTGAGAGTGTTTTCTTCTATCTTGGCCTTACTGAGATACTGTTAATGTCTCTCTGGAAGCAAACTAAAGCATTAAATACCTTTGTTAATTTTTTTGAGCCAGAATTTAAAGCAAAATACTCTTCATCAAGATATTTAGAGAAAAGCTATTTGGGAGTTAGGAACTATTATGGGATCAATTGTGTTCCCCCCAAATTCATATTCTGAAGTCCTAGCCTGGTGCTGCAGATTGTCATTGTATCAGAAATAAGTATTTGAAGTGGTAATTAAGTTCAGATGAGGCTTTTAGGGGGTCTTAATCCAATGCAGCTGATGTCCTTATAAGAAAAGGAGATTAGGATACAGACATCACAGAGGAAAAAACCCACGTAAAGACACAAGAAGCTACACAGCCATCTACAAGTCAAGGAGAGAGGCCTAAGACAAAAGCAACCTTGCAGACACCTTGATCTCAGACTTCCAGCCTCTGGAACTCTGAGAAAATAAATTTCCATCATTTAGGGCACCCAGTCCGTGATACTTCATTATGGCAACTCTAGCAAGCTAATACGGGAACAGTTTACTAAAGGTAGACGAGTCAGGTCATGACCTTAGAACTAAGATCTAAAACAGCTTCCCTCTTCAGCATATCGTCCACACTCATGTAGTTATGATTACTTACATTTGTGGTCTGGACAGGCCACCCGCGGATTGGTTACGGCAGTGCACCGAACCTGGGACCCAAACACCATATTTGAGGTCTTAATCCACATCTCTAGACCTGCTGGCTGCCTTAGCCTTGTCAGCCTTCCAAAGTTGGCATCCAGGACTCAGCTCTCAGGTCCTGCGGCACACTCCTCATCCATTGCTACCTCCGCAGAGTGCGAGCTCTAGGTTTGGAATCTCGGTCGTATTCTTTACCCCATGCCAGTTCCTCAAACCTGCAAAGGCCAACGCAGCGGGCAATGTAAGTTCTTTCATTCAGCCACTCAGAAATTCACTCCACAACAAGTTTAAAATGTAAGTTAGAAAGTTTACATAATTTTCTGAGACTCTCAGAGAAAGGAGGATCCTTTGTATCCAGAAAATTTTTACAAAGCTGCTCTGTTATACACAATACAGACGATCCTAGAGGCATATTTGAAGTCACTGAGAAATGGAATGGGCGGTGAACAAGTTAGATTAGATTTCTCAGTTTAAAATCAATTCCTTGGGGCGCCTGGGTGGCTTAGTCGGTTAAGCTTCCGACTTTCGCTTAGGTGATGATCTCGCGGTTCGTGGGTTCGAGTCCCCGCGTCCGGCTCTGTGCTGACTGCCAGCTCAGAGCCTGCAGCCTGTTTCGGAGTCTGTGTCTCCCTCTCTCTCTGACCCTCCCCTGCTCATGCTGTCTCTCTCTCTCTCCTAGAAATAAATAAAAATTAAAAAAAAAAAACCATTCTTTTAAAAAAAATAAAATAAAATCAATTCCTTTTTGCTTTTAATTCCAATCAGAAGCTTCTTTACAAAGTGCTATGCCGGTCATAATATAAATTGCTGTTTTTTAAATGGCTTTTTCTCTGTTGGACAGTTCAAATCTATTCTTTTTCCTTAAGATTGTTGGCACTCTTAGTTGTCACTGAAAAAACTTATTCCTATAAATAAATATGGATTTTTGTAATATGCTTTTATGCTATTTTGAGGAAAATGAGATAACTATAGACATTTCCACTTTTTATTCAATGTTCAACCCTCATTAGAAGGAAAAGTTGTAGAAAAGGAATACACTCCTTTTAAAACTTCACATAACTTTCCTTTTGGTCTGTTTCAAATAGTAATGGATCTAGTTAAAACAGGAAGCTTGGGGTGATGGAAGGCTTTATCAAGAATGGTACACGAGCAAAGAAAATTTAAAGAAATTCTTAAATAGCCAAATCCATCTCAAGTGGCTCTTGTGATCTGGAGTGAAGGGAAGCTTTGGTGGGAGGAAGCTGAGAAAGTTTTTTCTTACTCCAAAAGGCTTTCCCAGGTATTGGAAGGAGAAAAAAATGTACTTTGTGGTGTTATTTATAGAAAATACTTCAATCTAGATATTGAATTAGTTTTTTAAAGTACAAATTGTTCATCAATGTCTGTTCAAGAGTAGAATAATTATATTAAACTTAAGAATTTGATTTTTTAGGGGCGCCTGGGTGGCTTAGTCGGTTAAGCGTCCAACTTTCGCTTAGGTCATGATCTCGCGGTTCGTGGGTTCGAGCCCCGCGTCGGGCTCTGTGCTGACTGCCAGCTCAGAGCCTGGAGCCTGTTTCAGTCTGTGACTCCCTCTCTCTCTGACCCTCCCCTGCTCACACTGTCT